CCTAGACTGAAAGGAGAATTACATTATTACATAAACCTCAAGCTTTCACAGCAAGCAGATGGCCAGGAGTTCAGTGTGATTATGTAGAAATAAAAAGATGCTTCTATTAGCAGCTGGGGAGGGTATTCAAGTTCACACACACACAAACACAAGATACACTTGAAACTTGAGTGACAAGACACTATACATAAACATCAGCAGCTTAACAGGAAAGGACCCATACTTTCCACTAAATTCTTACCACTAGAAATGGTTTGAACCACATCTGGCTAGCAAAATTCTGTAACTCAGCTCCAAAATGTTTTCCTCTGATAAGGTTAACTTCTCATTAAAGAAATATGTGTTTAATGTGGCATAACATAGAAGAGATTTCTCTTTTTAGAAAACTTCAAAATGGAAAATTTTGTTTGTGAGACGTTCTCTAAGCTTTGCAGGTAAGTTTTTCTTATTCTAGATTTAAACGACTTGCAAAGATAATTCAATTACTGTTTCTATAACACTCGTATTAAACATACCTTTTAATAGCAAAGTATAAAAATGAATTTTGCATCTCAGCAGCTTACAGTCTAGACAAATTCATCTGAAAGTCTAATGTATTCCCATAGTTTTGGAAAAGTCAGCATACAGTGTTGTTACATATGTAACAAATCAACCATTTTTTCCAAACTATCTACATATTTGTTACCAATTGAAAGACAACTGGTATCTAAGCAACTTTTCTTCAGAAATCTTTCATTTTGAAGTGTGTTTAGCTCTCCATAAACTAATATTTTCAAATATCAGAACAGCAATAGCAAAGGTGCAAAGAAGCTATCTATGTGGAAACAGAATAAAACAGAAACAAGAATGAGGCCAAATGGGAGAAAACAACAATTTGAATATTCCCTCTGTGCCAAAAACAGCACTTCAATCAAGGGACACTTTACTGCAGGAAGCTGAGACAATGCAATTAAACACACTTAACCAAAGACAGCAGAAAAGGCACTGCAGATGTCAAGTAATTTGTGCATATAAACAGATTTTGAGAAGAGAAGAAAAAACTTAATCTAAAACCAAATATACATTTAGCTAAACGTCTGGCTTTCTAAAGTAAATGAAAACGTTGGAGATAAAGTTTACAGAGCACAATGTGTAAGTGATTGTAAAGCACTGAAACTAAAAAATTATGAAAATTGACTGTGACAGATTTAATTGCTTTCATTTAAAAATATCAAGTAAATTTTTAGTTTTTAAATGGAGCATGTGGCATCTAAAGGGGGAAAAATATTACCTGTGGAACTTGTGGGCTTCTTGACTTTTCTAGCATAGAAAATAAAAGCATTGGAGAGAAAAAGAAAATTAATTTTGTTTGATTAATAATCAAGCTGTCCTTCTCGGTTTCTAGCAGTCACTTTTGATCTGGCTGGCTAGTTCCAACCAAACCTGGCAGAGAAAAAGTATGTTTTGGTCACAGCTCTGTGCAGGAAAAGGGAAAATAGGGCACTGCTACATAGTGCCCCATGGAGACAGAAGCTTCAGTGACTGTTCAGTCATCAGTATGGCTTTCAAGTAGCTTGGCCAGCATACCATAACTGATCCAAACCTTGTGGTGCCTCTTGCTCTGGCATCATTTATAATGCCTAGGATGAAACCAGGCTTACCATTAAGTTACACGAAAGAAAACAAATCAAAAAAGGAGATCAGGCATCATACTTCACTTTCTGAGAAACAGCTTATGCTTTACTAATGTCCACACATAACAAAAAACAAAAACATTAGTCAAGCAAAAACTGAAAATCACACCCCACTTTCACAGGTTTCATTCACTGGCTAAGATGGTACCATTCAATCAGTAAGTTTAATATTTTTTTTTCATCTCAAAAGATGTATTAAGTTTAATTTACTACAACTTATTTAAATTTTACACTGAGGATGGAAATTGCTACTTTCCAAGGAGCATCTGTATCCTGTTCCTGGACTCAGTACAAGTGCTTTCTCACTAGTAATGACTCTATCCTCACAGCGTCCTCTCAGTAAACAGCTCTGTTGTTCCATTTTACAAACTGAAAATAGAGGTGTAGAGACATTACTGAACAATGACCATCAGTTTTGATGCAATTAAGGTCAACTGTTTTCCAAATACTTCAGACCAGACAAGAGCTACTTCGGTTTGAAACAGATCCCCTTGAGTTGGTGAAAACTATGAGTGCTAGTCACTTTTGCAGGTCAAATTCTACAACCTCATATCATGAAATATGATATCTATATGATATGGAATATGCATAATTATAAACAGATTTTATAACACCAACAGAAAGAACAGCACTGAAATCCTTTGAATTCCACCACAATGTGGTAGTACAGGGTTTCCCCAAATTTAACTCTACTTGAACCCATTTTCTTTTTAAGAAATGGGGGAGGGAAAATGCCCAAAAAACAACAGTCAGTGATAAGCAGCTATTTATGTGTAGTAATGCATTCCAATGATGAATTACTCCAAAAAGAACACACCCGTTATTTGAAGTCTGAACTTGCTTAATTCCCCTTCCAACCACAGAACTGTGGTACACCTGTGTCAGCTGAAGAGAAGCTTTTATCAAGTACCTCTTTGCCAAGTAGGTGCATATTGACTAATGAAGAAGCCCTTAAAATTTCCTTAGCTAAGCTAAACAAAGTAAGCACCTTATGTCTTCATTACTAAGACCACTCTCCCACAGTCATTTTCAAGACTGTTCTCTGGCAGCTGATTTTTCACCATCCTCCCTGGACTGTGAGCACCAGATGTAGTGCTCCAGTAAAACTTATAGCTGATACCTCCCAATCGTCAATTCACTTGCTTAACTATTCAAAAGTTTTCACCAGACCTTTAGCTACAGCCCGAACAATTGACTTCAAGTTCAAATTCAAATCCTATCATTCATCAACTCCAAACTTGCTGCCCAACTTAGTATTTAATTGCACTGATTCTGCTATGAAGTTATGCGTCCAATTTATTAATTATCAAAATCACTTTGTGGGCTTATTAATGTTCTTAGTCCCAAATTTATTACTTTCTAGGTAGGTAAAAACATTTGAAATAATTCCAGCACAGTTATTTACTATAAGAACTTCTGAGACTGTTGCAATGTAGGCAACAGCGGACTGCTTTGTGGTATGTGCAACACTTGCAGATGCATAACACTCTGACGCTGGATTTTGCACTTTAGTCGTACACAGCCTTGCTTAGGGATTCGTGTTTGCAAGAGTGCAAATCTCTAGCCAAGGCCCTCCTACAATTCTCAGCTAATAGGACTTATATTTTATTTTGTAACATAAAATTTAGCAAATCTTTAAAATACTCCAGAATCAACCAACAAGCAATGTTTATTAAAGATGATGATAAATGAAAATAGAGTTGGGTTTTCATTGGATAAATTGATAAACCTAATCAATAAGTGCTTAAAAAATATGCAAGCTTTCCATCTGTGTATTTACATGCCATTATACAGCTCTATAAAGATTTTATTTAAAAGGTAAGACCTTTCAGGGACCAGTTCAAAAAGACACAGGCTGTGACCACAGCACAAGTTCTTGCCCAAAATTCCAGAACTCTTTACCAAAGCGTTCACAGTCAAAAATAGTAACAGACCAGAACATCAGATACTGCAGACATCTTAAAGCAAATGTGTCAGCTCTAACATAATAGAAACCTTTAGATGCTCAAGGTTGATTTTCTTCTTATATAGGGAAAATTAGGATCACAGGCTACTCCACACTGTCCAATTTTAAAACTTTTGTGCATATCAACACTGTCACTTTGACTAAGCAGGATCGAAGCCTGAACTGTCAGACATTCAAATCTAGCTCAGCTTCACCATTTCAGTGAAGGTGGAGAGAGGGGCAGGAGCTGTCTAAAGGAGAAGAAAACAGAGAAATAGAGAAAAATAGTATCTTCTCATAAAATTTCTCCCCTTTTTCAAAGGGCTGCATAATATTATCTCAAAACATCAGAGTGCACATACTTACACACAATTTCCTCCTGGCTTTTTAAAGCACTGTAAACATTATTAATTGCACTGACTAGGACGCTATCTTTTGTTCCTGAACTTTAAAGGCACTTACACAGGGTTTAATCTTCTCCATCAAAAGTCTTTAGAAGTCACATGGCAGAAGGAAATCTACTCCTCTTAAATTATATCAGCCAGTTCCACACCTCCTATTTCTGGTGTCACAGTTTCTGTGACCTGAGGAGTGTCAGAGTGAAAAGGCCCCACCAGTCTTACTCACATTCTTACCTTAGTGTCTCTCTTACACTGGAGTGATGAGTAGGTAGGTTACCCATACCAGGAAATACTTTCAAGAATTGAGTTTCAGTGGCACCTTTTGATATGATCCTTCATGCATGAACACACACACAAGAACATTTACATAGCCTAAAGCAGTTTTCAATCAGTTCTACCCAGTCCCTGCCCCCTGGGTGTCCATGTCTTCCTTTTTATTTCATGGGCAAATCCACAAACAAGGATAAATGAGCATACATTATCAGCCACAAAAAGAATTTAAGGTGTTCCAGAGTATTAGGCCTTTTGAGATTCTATTAACTTGAGTAAAGGGGACAGACACAAAAAAAGATCTTCAATTAGCCAGAGTATGGACTAGTTAAGAGTGACACTGCAATAGAAAGGAACCATCAGGTTTAAACAATATATAATGGCAACAAAATGAAATAGATAATATTCAAGAAAAACAAGCAAACAAACAAAAACCAAAGCACTGAAACAGCTGGAGAATCTTGTCCCTTTTTGAAGTCCTAAATTTAAAAAAAGAAACAACAAAACAAACAAACAAAACCGCACACACACAAAGCAACAAGCAAAACAGCTACTCTTCTTCCACTTCCCAACTATTTTTCAACTGGTATCTGCTTGAAGATCTCTGCTAGAATAATTTTCTGGTTTTCATCTTCCTGTCATTTTCATTCTTTTTCAATTTTATGACTTCATACTCTAAGGCAAAAACTTAAGCAAGGAGGAAGAACTTACTGGTATTGAGAACTCCTCTGCCAAATACTTCAACACTGATGCTCCTCTAGTCAAAAAGTTACTTCTCTCTGCCAGATTGCCTTGAAGTTTTGTGTCAAACTCTTTTCTGACAACTGAAGCAACAGAGTCAATTATTATGAGTTTAACTTTTTTTGAAATAATTTCTTCTTCCAAAGACATAATCCTAAAAAAAGAAAAAAAGAAAAAAAGAAAGTCAATGATAGCACTATTTACACAATAGAACCATTTTATAACTTTGTTTAAATAAAAGGAATCCTTTAATTAGCTGAAAGTCAGCCCCTCTTTTTCCCTCCTCACACACCACCTCCATTAACATCCAAATCTACATGTATTGAAGATTTGGAAAGGAATCTGAGGCTCACTGGACCACATAACCCAAGGCAGAATCTCCAAAAGAGAGGATCTGGAAGAATCTCTAGTTAGCAAGACTACGCCGTACCACCCCTGAATGGCAGATGGCAAGTAAAGTGGACACGGAAACTATGCCTTTTAGCTCACAGTAGATGCATCCCACGGTCATCTCCAGATTCTCTGGTGTCTATGTACGCAGGTCAAATCCATTTTCGTATGCCTCCAAACCTCATTTGTTAATAAGGATGGATGCCACCCAGAGGGATCTGGACAAACTTGAGAAGTGGGCCTGTGAGAACCTAACGAAGTTAAACAAGTTGAAGTGCAAGGAGCTGCGCCTGGATCAGGGTGGTCCCAGAGACAAGTACAGACTGGAAGAAAGTGTAATTGAGAGCAGCTCTGCAGAGCAGGACTTGGAGGTCTGTGGACACAAAGCTGGGCATGAGCTAGCAGCATGCACTTGCAGCACAGAAGGCCAACCATATCCTGGGTTGAAGCAAGAGGTGTGGCCAGCAGGTCAAGGAAGGTGACTCTCGCCCCCTACTCTGCTCTCATGAGACCCCACCTACAGTTCTACATTCAGCTCTGGGGTTCTCACAAGAAAGACATGGACCAGAGGAAGTCCTCCACAGAAGGGTCACAATGATGCTCAAAGGGCCAGAGCACATCGCCTACAAAGACAGGCTGAGAGAGCTGGGCCTTCTTCAGCCTGGACAGAAGGCGGCTCCAGAGAGGCTTCACTGCAGCCTTCCAGTACTCAAAGGAGGCTTATTTATAAGATGCGGAGTGACTTTTTACATGAGTAGATAGTCACAGACAAGGGGAAAAACTAAGAGAAGAGAGATTTAGATTAGCTATTAGTAAGAAGTTCTTTCCTCAGAGGGTAGTGAGGCACTGGCACAGGTTGCCCAGAAAAGCTGTGGATGGCCCATGCCTGGAACTGTTCAAGGCCAGACTGGACAGGACCCTGCGCAATCTGATCTACTGGGTGGTGTTCCTGACCATGGTAGGGGGGTTGGAACTAGATGATATTTAAGGTAGCTTCCAAGACATGCCATGTTTCTACAATATGCTAGTAGCTGTTCTCCAACAAAGATGCACTAGAAGATAAAATTATTCTTAGAAGAATTCTCCCACCAACATAAAACACTGAATACGATGCTAAAATACAACTTAATTTTCATTGCAAAATATGTTCAAAAATTTACATAAGGTAACAGCATGACAATACAACACTGCCAACAACAGGATTCAAGCTGATGACTGTTAAAAAATTCCTTCTTCCCACTGCTGGAAGGGTTCCTGTCTTCCTGGAAGGAAACTGGGCTTTGGAGGAACAAGATCCTCTTTCATGGACAATACAGTTCTTATACTATGGTCCCTCCACAATCCAAGAGACAACCTGTCTCATAAACACTCCCCTTTAAAGGCTTACAGGGATCAGATCACGTAGAAATTGTCTTTCAGAAATTAAAAAACATCAACCAGATTAGTCACATGCTATGAAATGAAAAGAGCAATGTCAATCTTTCTGCAGTGCTACTTTGCTGGAGACCATGCTGTTATCCACATGAAAAGGCCTCAAATAAATTTATTACTCTTCATAAAACTTTGATATAAAACAAATATTGTTATAAACAATCAAGTCAAAGTGTTGTTGTATTTTTATTTTAAACTCTGGGAAAGAATACCTCTTCAGTACACTGCAACAGGTCAGCTCTCGATAGAGGTGAATGCTACGGGTCATGCAGAACACTTTTTCATCTGAGTCAAAATAAGTAGGGAATCTGTTTCCTGCTATCTCAATCAACCTTTTAAAAAAAAAAAGAAAAAGGCAAAACTAGAAGGTATATCACAGCAAAACGAATAATGTAGGATAATAAGTCATCAAATATTCATGAAAAAAACACAGCAAACCTCTGAACCATAAGCAGATACGAAGTAATACTGGAAAACTTTTTAAAAGGAAAAGCATACATTTCCATCTGAGTAATACCATATATGTTTTAATAGACAAATATACTCATCCTTAGTAATAATGTTATTTTCACCACATTTCATTTCTATGTAATACTGTATTTTCAGCAGTTTCATTTTCATGTTCACCTGATTTCCTTTTCTTTAGCATTCACTTCTAAACAAGTCTTAACTCACTCATTGGGTCCTACCCTTTTTTACTATTTACATTTCAGGGATCTGAAATGAAACCTAAGTGCTATGTAAGGGGGGAAGCACCATACTATGCAGAGCCATCGCTTCAAGCTTTTTTCTCTGACATATTACACTTCAGACTTCTGTGAAATTAAGTTGATAAAAAACAGGGTTAGAAATCCAACTTTCTCATCCATAACTTCAAATGAATAAACAATGCAAACAGGTTTGCTTTGATACTCCAGATTCAGGCCATGGCTATAATTACTAAATCATCTGAAATATCTAAGTTCTTTCAAAGAATATTTTTCTGCCCATTTTTCTACACAAACAAGCATGTGACTACTGTACTTCTTGTGCTCCCCCAGATCCGTAAGAACTTTTGAACTTGCTCATTCCAAACAACAGGGACAAAGGAATAGAATTTCTAAAAATATTAAATCCTATTGTTTAGAAAAGTTGGTAGTTAAGTACAGTAAATTAGAGCTACCTTTAATGAAACACTGCAGGATTATTTCAAGTTAATCACTCAACATGGGGAAGAGTGGCAACCAACACATGCGTACATCTGTTCTCTCAAGCAAATACAGCACACAGTGTCTCCTGTCCATTCAGAACACACTGTAAGTGCACAGCTGAGCAGTTTTGGTCACATGGGCCAAGCAGCAGATATCAGAAAAAAACAGAGATGCTGTAGAGGGAAGGTAATATAAGGATATAGGAGAAATGCGAGCTCACTCAGGAGGAAAACAGAAGTGCAGGAGGACACAGGGTCCCACTCAACAGAAGTGGGAAAGAAATCTGAAGGAAAAGTAGCTATGTTAGTCCCACTGTTCACCAAAGAAATCTCCATTTCCTTTGTCGTCAAAATGATGGGTCTTTACATTCTCAAAACCTTCCTATTAACTCCACAAACTAAACTGTAAAGAAAGATTTCAGACACAAGACTGATAATAACATTTATAAATTAAAGAGCATGCCATCCACCTTGCCATACCCGAAACTGTAATCTGCAACAGGATCAAATTAAGAAGCAAACCATTCTATTACATTAATTTCAACATCTATGGAATAACTGCATATACAAGAGGAATGGTTAATAACTACCACAGGTATCTAAAAATACATCATTATTGCTCAGAAAATAATTGAAGGTTCCAAGACAAAAGGTGCTAAGAAGCTGTGTGTATTTTAGATTTTTGCATCTTACCTTTCAGCACTGAATGCAGACTCTGTGTCAATGTATATAACCGCCCCATCTAGTCCTCCCATGCTTACAGGCAGCGTAGCCAGAACACTCAGCATAATACAAAATTGAGTTTTGCCACAACCTGGTGGGCTAGTTATCTGGAAGAAAAAAAGATTAGTAACATAACATTCATTTTACATAATTGTACTTTTATCTTCAACCCATCAGACCTCCAATTTTGCTCCTTCAGCTATCACAGGAGGAGACAGACATGAATAGATAGAATGCAACCCACAAAGAGCAACTTAGAGATGCAGTCAGACTCATGAAGAACTAACAGCTTTTTAGATCCAGCATTATGCTTGCACTTTATTTTTTTGACATCATTATTACCTTTCAAATTTGCAGTCCTCTACTCTCTCCCTCACCCACAAGATCTTCCCTAGAGACACCTAGTTCCCTTTCATCTTTGTGCTACCTTCCAAAATAGAGAAGAATCAGAAGATTCACAGTTGACACTGAAGTGTCACCAATGGCCTTTAGAGCTGAAAACAAAGTCCAGAGCTAATGAGCTCACAGATGTAAATGACTGCTTAGGAATCATCATTTCTTTGGTTAAACCAGGTCTCCCTTGGAAATCCTGTAAAGACTGAATGTTCAGTATGATCCACATATATACATAAAATAGATTTTATCTGCCCCAGAGACTACACTCTGCTATGCAGTATGTGTTTTTTCATTGGTGTTAACTCCTATTACCATATTTCAATGCCAACACCATTAAGTGATCCAGAGCAGCTTGCCAATTCTAAGCTCTCACCTGTGCTCACTGAAAGCCCCCTGTGGCTAAGGTTCCAGTACGATTTTGATTGAACAGAAAAACCACAAGGATCCAAAGAACACATTGTTTGATGAGATCATCAGTTTCTGAGAACAATATTTTTCTACAGTCTGCTGTTCTTTATCCACTGTAGATTTTGCAGAGATTGTAAATGAATGCTGGGCTCTGTGTTCAAATTGTAAGTTCATTACTGCTATAATGGGTCTTTAAATACAATCCCACATTGTCACTGCTTCTGGGAAGGGAGATGATGAAATCTTAAATACTAAGAGGGCGAAAAAACAGCTGAGAGACTTTAGGCACTAGAAACAGAGCGATGGGTTCATTCTGATGCTAGTAGGTAAAAGCAAGCCTCTCTAGGGAAATTAAACTCCAAAATGAAGCATACCTCCTCAAATCACCTAGAACTACCAAAAAGAAACCTTAAAACAGACAGACACTCAAAAATCAAACTGATATTTGCGACTACACACACAAGAGTTTGGTTTTAAGCACAGACACCCTTTCACCACTAGGTATTACAGTATTGCTATGGTTTTAAGTAGCAGAAGCATGAGTTGAAACACAGAAAATTTACAGGGAAGGACCACATTAGCTACAGCCATCAGTTGGTTAAAATCCCTTTAACCACCTTTGTCTTTAAGCAAGGCCTGAAAGCCAAGCCATATCAATCAATCTACTTGAAGCCTTGATGCAAGAGAAGCTTTAGATGATTTTTGTTTAGAAGCACACATTGCATTTAGAGAATTAGAGATCAGAGATGAGTCACATTAATGCAATTATCTGTCCTTCAGCCAGTGCATTTAAATTACAGAATATCATATCAACAATGGCTGCTACATTTTAATATGAACCCAAAGCATATATAAAAAATGGAGAGCAAATACACATTCCTTAGACTGTGATAGCCAAGGAATCTCACCAGCTGTTTCTAATTAAAAAGAAGACTTGAAATGAATGAGGGGAAGGCATCGATCCAAGTGTTAAATTAAAATGCTTAGATAACTGTGAGGATATCCTGTAAAAATGTTTGTAATTTCAGCCTTGCCTGGGAGGTGCACTGGAATCAATGTTTCAGTGGCTGATGCAGGAACTAATTCAGCAGAGTTGCTATAAAAATGTCTGAGGATATGAGCATCATATCACAGAGGGAACTCTGCACTACAAGCTAGTATAGGGAAGCAAGCCAATTGAGCAGGAGAGCATTTCTATTCCCAAAGACAGCAATACTTCATCTTTCATCAGCATTCCTTTAAAGGGCATTGAAACAGACTTTTAAATAATCCACAGTAAACAGTTTTTAAAAACTACATTTTATTGTAGTTACCACGGGTTCGGCAAGTGTTTTTGAACATCAGTATCCTAGTTAAAATTCTTCCAATATAATTTAAATTGAATGTCAGCAAAAAGTTTGCTTCATTTGTTTTACTCTAAATTTGCTCTGAAAAAAAAAAAAACACCCAAATAGAAATGTGAAGACTACAACAGTTTTTAATTTATCTCTGCCTAATAAAACATACTTTTATTTTTCAATAAGCTATATATTATTTTCTCCAGCACACCTGGAGGGTTTGGATGAAGTCACAAGGAGCTAATTCTTCTTCACCTACCAGGAGATTAAATTCTTCAATATTCACAAAGTAATGACTTTAATTTTCCTCATACAAGTTGGCCAAAAGCTCTGACATTTGACCACAGAATTTCAGTTATGATTTAATTTTTCACTTAAAACCTAATAGTTGTTTGGGGAAAAAATGGTCTGAAACAGTGTAACACAAATCAAATCCCTCTGGCACTCAAAACTCAAGCAGTTTTGGCAGTAGAAGATACCACCACAAATCTTAATCTTGTGGTTCATGTACTCAAATTCCAAGTTTCCAGCCACCATTACTGCTGGGCAAAGCAATAGGAAGACAATGATTTAGCCACACTAGTTAGGAAGTAAATTCTGCACCAGCATACTTTTGAACAGAACTTCCCACATTTAGTACCTAAAAAGCAAATAAAAAGCAATACACATTTAAATTTTTTTTAGACACCTCTAATATCTTGAGTTACTCATTTAATTCTTGGAGTCTACCTAGTCCTCCCTGTGGTATTTCTGACTAAATAGTTATATATCAGTATTGGCAACCAAGCCTAAGGCACAGGTGCTGGCAGTTCTTGTACAAACATCCACATCGCTGTCTGTCAGTGAGATCCCCCACTGAAGACAACTGCGCCAGGCAGGTCTCATTCTTCACCAAAATATGTTAGAATACAAAAAACTTAACATTAACAATGTGTTTTTTTCAGAAGAAGACTTAAAGTGCAACACCTTTCCTGGTGCAGAGCTTTTCATTTATAATCAGATAAAAGTTCAGCCTATCTTTGAATACATTAATTCCCCCCCACTAACTTTAAATACAATGATAGAGAGCATGACCATCGTTAAACTAGAGCCTAGCAAGTTTCCCAGATTTCTTCATATCTAAAGAGATAAGTATTTTAAGAAACACTGAGGTGAAAATATTAAAATTGGATATTGTGAAAATCAACCAGGCCACAAAGTAGTAGGAAATACACAGCACTGGAAAATTAAGCATTCACATTAACTTCTTGTAGAGCATTATTTTATATCATCTCAGGAAAATTATATTTGACATCCATAGTTTAAGATCAACTGCTTGGTGAGCTTACTTTAAAATAAAATTTAAAAAAAAGGAAAAAATTAAAAAACACTAACACAAAACCTAGAAGTCACGGGTTAGCTAAGCTCCCCTAAACTCCCAGTGTGTCAACCACTGCTTTTCTCAGATCTCCCTCTGGAGCAATGCCAAGAACGTGGCAATTACCAAGCCTGAATTCTATTATGCTCTAGAGCCGTTCAACATGGTCTTCTGGCAAGAACATATCAGATACACTGCACTGATTGCTGAATGATAGCTCCAATTCAGCATTAAAAACAAAGACAAATATTCATAACAGCAGCCTCATAAAATAACTGTGTGGCTCTGTGGACCCAAAATCACATCAACTTGGTTTTTAAGCAGAAAAAAAATATTCCATATTGAGTACTCCAAATATTTGGGCACCACTCATGAGCCAGTCAGTCCTATCACAGAAAAGACACATCTCTATTCTATTTTTTTCTCTCCTACTTGCACAGCAGTGCCCCTGCATTTCAACTAAAGCACTATTCAGACGTTTAAGCAACATAAGCATGTGAACAGCCATTCAGGAAAAAAAAGATTAGTAGACCACATGGAAATCCTGGAAATGCACATCCTAGCTGAAAGTGAGCATCATTTCTTTTCAAACATGGACTATGCTATTTCATCAGTTCACTGGATGAACAATAACAAATAAGAAAAGACATCAAAGTACACCTAGTGTAGTCACTGCTTTGCTCATAAAAATGTTTTCGGGAACCAAAAACTCATCTCCTGCTGAAGGCATTATCTTCAACAGCAGTATAGTAACAATCTCAGGATCATGCCCACCACACCACTACATACATACATCTTTCTTCTTCAATTAAACAGAATTTAGCAAGCTGTTTCTCCCAGAATTTAAAGACTTCCAGTGTTGATCTTAAGTTCTTTTGAACCAAATTTCTTATAGTAAATTGACAACAAAGTTAGGCCTAGATATGAGAGATCAATACGTTCTTAATCAATATGTGTTCTTAAACATTTTTATGATGACCTGAATGGTGTATATTCCTGTACATCATATACAAAAAGAAAGACTCAAAATCTTTAAAAACTAATATCCCTTCATTACATAAGAGTTTACTAGAGCAGAAACTGTTTAGTCTAAACCCAGTGTTGCTTAACACTATTATGTTTAAAGTCACTACCAGATTTCATAAGTCATTTCTACCTGAGACCAAAATCAATCTAGCTTGATTATAAGGTGTGGAAAAAACGTATTTTCTTCAAAGTAAGATTTTCATAACTTCTGACTTTTAGTCATCTACAAAGAAAAGCACTTGTTAAGGACTGTTAAGGAAAAAAAAAAAGAAAAGGATTTGTTAAGGGAAAGAATTGTTTCAGAGCATGACTCACAACACTTAGGTCTTCTAGAGGGCACAGCTGACTTCAGAACTTTAAGACAGAAGTATGGCCACAGTGCATAAAAATGTCCATCTAGCTCTGGATTTGTCACTAACAAGAACCTACAACAGATAGCTAGGATAATAACCTAGGAACAGGGCACACAAATAACGATACTCTCTCCAATATATAAGTTTCTCCAACTTCATTTGTAGGTCAGCAAATTTCTAAGCCAAAGATTGCATCTTTGTATTTTTATAATGCTCTGTGGCTCCTATGAGCATCTACACAAACCCCACCTTTCCAGAGTATGGAAACTATGCACATTATTATCACTTTCTGTAAGGCTATAGAGAAATCCACATACTAGAACAATTTAATTTTAAATTAAATTTAAAGAAAAAAAGTAGCATTATCCAAAGTCTAGAGAGTGACAATTATAGGTAGAGATATGTAATCTGTAGTTCTGCAATGCATGTGCATATAATACAGACCTTAATGACAGCCTTTTTTAAAGTGCATTATGTATTTATTGTATAAATTACATCGATATATAAAAGCTCTGGAAAGTCATTTCCATGCCTATACACGTCACACTTGTGTGCTAATTGCTTATTCTACCTTTGTAGAAACTAATGACTTGTTAAAAGTCAGAGTCAGTATTAAAATGGCAGATTCCTGATTCAACACCTTGTGCTGTGACCATGAAACTGCAAGTTTCCCACCGCAAAATCCAGCCAACAAATCTCCCAAATTTCCTGTGAAAATTTTCACTTTTTTAAAGGATGAAGTGAAGGACGGCAGTAATTTTAATTCCTTTATCCTCTTATTCACCTAACATACTAGGAACATCACCAAAAAACAAAAAAGCAGCCTCTACAAACTAAAAAAAGAAGCACTTCTCATCCAAAAATTTGGGGTATTTTGTGTTTAAAGCATCTGACAGAAGACAATCCAACCTATCTGTGATTTTTCATTTCTAGGTGGAATGTTCAATGAAATAACATATATTAAACAAGTTACCTCTGTGAGGGACCCACAAGGCACTCCACCATGCAAGACTCTATCCAAACTATGCAGCGTGGTAGATAAAAAGGCTGAAGAGGGACAGACAGACTTCTTTAATTTCATTTCATAAGCCTACAGAAGGAGGGGGGGGGAACAAAAGAAAACAAACAAATCAGAAAATGCCTTTTTTAAATGGCAATAGGAAACTTGTATTTGCTTTCATCAACCTGGTATGCCTTAACATTTGCCAATGAGCAAAGTACTCCTATCTTCAGCGATAGTCTGCTTAGTTCATCACACTTACATCCCATTTATATCTGAATGAGTAAATTTTAAAGTCTTTTTTATTTCCCTCATCACAATATTAAATAATAAGCCTTTAATAACAAAGTGACAGAAGTTTTCTCTGCTGCTATTCAACAAGTCTTGCTTTTAACCCCAAAAATTCAAATTCTAAATAAGTAAATAGTATATGTATGGTTAGTGACCAATACAAACCCTCACATGAAATCTAAAAAACAAAAATCCCCTAACGTTGATTACCCATTTGAAACTACATGGGTTGAAGGAAAGTTTTGCTAAAGAGCCCCAAGACTTTGAATAAGCCTGTGTTGGTACTCTAACCATTCATAATTTTCCACCTGCCAAGAAAAAATCCAGCAACTGCCTTGCAGCTAATGTGTTTCCTTCTTGCACTCCCCCTAGTTGGACTACCTGTAAGGCACACTACAGCTCATTAGGAAAAAATCTTCAAGAAATTATTTTCAGGATCACTTCACCTCTCAGTACCACTTTTATATCTAAAACCAATTCATACTGAAATCCTTAGTCCTTGTCTGTATTAAACAACTTTTTTTTTTTTTTTAAGTTGCAGGATCCAAACTAGATACCCTTTTTACATGCTGGATTGGAAGAGAGGATAACATATTTCCCTACTGCACTCAGAACAAGCCTGAACAATCTCTTGAGGCTATAATACCTAATAAATGTAACTGCATCAAACTAAAGTGCATCAGAGATTTAAATTTAAAAACAAAAATATTACTTCATTGTGCAATAAAACCAAGATATTCCAAGCCTCCCAGCTAAAAACATGAGTGGCAATGTTCAGGTTCTTCCCAGATATTGTATCAAAAACAGTATCACCACAAGCATACTTACTGTCTGCATTTTGGGAGCACAAGCTCGGCTGACTTTACAAAGAAGCTTCTGCACCTCATAGTAGCTCTGTCCCGTCACTTTCATCAGCTCCAAGAGTGAAAGACATAAAAAGTCCTGAAAGACAACAAAGCAGTTCAGAGAGCTCAATCCAGGCTGGGGAGTAAACTGATGCAATCTATAGACAGCTGGTACACATTCCACAGGTTCACCAACTCTGCTGCCTTATACACTATTATGCTGTATCTCTCCTACCTTCTTCTCAAACAGTATACTAAAAGAAATTGTATCCATATTTTAAAAGACATGGAATAAGAGGATCAACCATTTAAGATCTGTGTGATGGAACTGCAACAAGATAACACCTTTTTGCCCACCTGAAACACATTAAAAACACATTTTAGTCCTTCAAGTTGCAGTGCTAGGCAGAGATCCTGTATATATGATGCAAGCGGCTGAAATGCATAGGGCCTCTTGGCTCATGGACAGCTTCTTGTCCACCAGGGCCCCCAGGTCCTCCTCTGCAGAGCTGTTTCCAGAGCTCCCCTACCTCCACAGGGATAATACATCCATAAAGGTTTAAATGTTTTAGTTAGGCATCTATCATTTTAAAGCTCTACTTTTACAAGGCAGCAGGCCAGATGGTGTCTGAAATGCCCCTTACTTTACAGAAAGTAAAGCTTCCTGTTTAATTACAAAAAAGTGAACATGACATGCATTAAAACAACACACACAAAAAACCCACCACTAAAATAAAAACTAACCAAAAAAAAAAAAAAAACCACCCCCTGCAAACAAAATAACGCTTTCACCTGACAGGTAGTGATCTGACAGCGACTCAGCCTTTCACACAGCTCCTGAGACAATTGTGCTCTTCTGAGTTTCTTAGCAGCCATGCTCCCCAACCTACAGAGCAAACAAAAAAAAAATATTGAAAGATTATTTGAATATGACTCTGCAATTCCACTCACTCCTTGCAAAAGAACAGGCAAGGGTGCACACATGTGCATATATACACACATATATACAAATGATATAATGTGACATAGTCTTCCCCTGTAGGTCTGAGTCACATTAAATTATATTACCACTCTGAGAGTACTTTCGTTAAATTACATCTCCTCAGATTTGACCATGTATGAGATCATGCCAATCAGAACAGCAGAGTCAGAAATGTTTATAAGGCAGATGTTTCTGGGATGTAAGAAAGCTGGAAATCACTCAGCCGTGAGCTGAACAAGAACTCCTGACGCTATACAGCACTGGAAAGAAATAAGCTATCTTTGGATGCCTAAACATGAATTGTGGAGTAATCACAGTAAGTATTTAGCCCTAGAACACATACTCAGTTCTGGTGACCCAGGATTCGTGACAGGTGCCGAAAGAACAGAAAGAAGACACTAGAAAGCCTGAAGGGCTGGAAACACACTTAAATATGCAAGAGTCAAGGTGATCAAACTAATCAAATCCACTTCATAGCATTCTAGGTACAGCTTACAAACCAAATTCACTCAATAAAGAATTCTTTAATTTAGCCAACAGTGCAAAAGAAGCCAGAGGCCGAAGCTGAGCATATGAAGAAGATAATTATAACATAAACGCTATTTATTTTAAAAAATGAACAAAAATACCACTGCACCAAGACAGTAATAATTGTGGCATAGTGTGATTGAGACCTAAGCAAACTGTATTTCTGAGACTCCTGCTTAAAGAGTATCTGATTATCTCACATAAACCTTAAGACTATTTTATGTAGCAGGTAAGATTATACTGCAGCTATGGGTCCTTCTTCCCCTCAGCTATGTACCTTTGTTCCCTTTTTTTTTATCATTCCATTCTATGGAACAAAACCCCACGGGATGGTGTTTGGCCAGAACAACCCAAAACACACGTATACGTAATGTTCGAGCACATTGCTGTTTCACACGTACTCTTTAGGCAACATTCCTAATTTTAATTTATACAGACATTCAGGCAAGACAAAACGTTTTATGACGCAGTAAGTGCAAAATCTGCAGATATGCCATGATGCAAAACTATTACAGCTTCGCAGATGCACAGGCCTCCACATCTTTACAAGAAGACAAACTTAATTACCCCCTCTACGAAAATCGCTCCTTCAACAGGAGGAAACCCAACCGGCCGCCCAGCCCAGCGGGCCCGGCTCCCGCCCGCCCCATCGGCTGGGACCCCGGGATGCGCCTGCAGCCGGAGACCCAGCCCAACTCTCTCTCGCCCCGGGCAGCACCGCGAGCACCAGAAACCCCGCTCCCGCCGCACACCAGCCTCACCCCCGCGGCTCGGGGGCGTCCCGCTGGGCCAGGCCGCGCCAAGGCGTACCAAACCCGCCCGCCCGCCTCGGGCGCGGCGCGGGCCCCGCGCACCTGAGAACTTTTTCAAAGGTTCCCCGCGGCGGGCGCGAAGAGGCGGGGCCGCCGGGCCAGGCCCACGCTCTCGATTGGCTGAGCTCCCGCCAACCCCCGCGCAGCGCTGGCGGCAGGCGGCGCGCGAGGCATGCCGGGAGCGGTAGTTTCGGGAGTGGACGGGAAGGCGGGAGCCTGCGCCTGTGATGGCGGCGGCTCTGGGCGGGCAGCTCCTCTTGGACCCGCTCCTCGCGGGGCAGGAGCGGCCCAAGGGGTGTTCAGTGCTCATTCCGCTCGTGAAAGGGAGCGCCTCTTCCGAGGCGAGAGCCTCGCACGGCGCTTCCGTGCTCTACCGTAGAAATTCCTGCCGTCGTCTGCACAGAAAGCATCAATAAATCCCGAAAGAGAGTGCCATGCGTGCGTTTAGTTGTTAGTAAAGAATATTGGATTGGTGGTTCTCGTCTTCAAACTGAGGGCTTACAAACACACCTGGTGAGCTGCCTGCTGTGGGAGGAAACACCTTTGGCACTGAGGAAACTATTGCCCTGTAGTGTGAATCAGAATCAGTTAGGTAGGAAAAGACCTCTTGAGATCATCGAGTCCAACCTATGACTGAACACCACCATGTCAACTAGATTATGTCTTTCCTTGAACACCTCCAGGGATGGTAGCTCCACCACCTTCCTGGACAAGCCACTCCAATATCTAATCACCCTTTCAGGAAGGAAGAAACCCTTCCTTGATGTCCAGTCTAAACCTCCCCCTGCACAGCTTGAGGCTGTGTCCTCCTCTGTCAGTAGTTGCGTGGGAGAAGAGACCGGCCCCCATATGGCTACGACCTGCTTTCAGGTAGTTGTAGAGATCCATAAGGTCTCCCCTGACACTCCTCCAGGCTAAACAATCCCAACTCCCTCAACCACTCCTCATATAATTGACTCTCTAGACCCTTCACCAGCTTTGTTATGCTTCTCTGGACTTGCTCCAGCACCTCAATATCCTTCCTGAATTAAGGAGCCCAGAACTGGACACTCAAGGTGTGGCATCACCAGTGCCAAGTAGAATGAAAGAATCACTTCCTCAGTCCTGCTGGCCACACTATTTCTGAGACAGGGAATGTCTGAGTGTAACAGGTAGAAGTAGTCATAAAACATAACTGATGTGAATGGCTATGGGGAGAGTCAAATTCAATACTAGAAAGTATTGCAGTTAGTACTGTGCGCATATGTTATCTACATAATCTTTTTAGTTCTACAAATTAACCTAACTGAAGAAAAAAAAAATGGGCCAATGTTATCTTGGACATCTACTGAGAGACTGCGTGTTGGGAACTGCATGGCCCAGGTTTTGCTGTTCTGAAAAAGAAATGCCACAGGAAAGCTTCACCACTTTTCTAAACGAGTGATCTGGAGAAACAGGAAGAAGCTATGGGGAAATGCCCAAAAACTGTAGTGTCAAAAAGGGTCAGTGGAATTAGTGTTTCTTTCATACCCTGAAGGGAGCTTAGATACCCAAAAGAAATCCAGAGGATTTAAGAAGCTTGTCAGATATAAGAAGAAGCCCATACAAAAGCAACTCAGAGCTTTAGTGAATAGGTAGCTGAACAGGGAGAGATGGGATAGAGGAAGAGCTCCTCCTAGTGTAGTTGGCCTTTAAAAGTTGATGAAAAATGTAAGTCACAACTGAGAAAAGCTGTCTGAGGAAAGGGAAAGGATGTCTGTTGCTGCAGACAGTTTAGTTTCTGTGTAAACAGGAGGAATTGACCATGGTATAACTCATCATGGACTACTTGTGGACTATTTCCTCCTCAGTACAGGAGTAGCAGGAGCCTGACCTTCCCACATGAGGTGCAAGAAAAAGGAGGATTGCCTTGATGACTTTTTTTTTCCCTCCCACAAATGCATTGGGGCTTGCTATTCACTTCCAGGTCAACAGGCTTCCCTTCCACTTTCTGTAAAAACAGAATACCTATATTAAACCAGAGAACTGTTCTGGCTTGTTGATCAAGGGAAGCAAATCTTAGCAGCTAAGTGGTTTAAAAAACTTGTGAGCAAAATCAGTATACCCTGGTAGCATTCCTGCAAGTGCTTTGAATCTCATTTCTCGGTGCTGTCATGACTGTTCAACTCTCTGCTTCTCAGATCTGCAGAAACAATTTTAAACCTACTGGCAAATAATTGTGCATCATCCTCTCTGTGTAAATTGAGAGAAATAATATTCAGAGGATAATCAGAGATGTGTTCACATACGCAGCAACACAGCAGGCAGCTCCACAGCTTCCATACGTTTGACTAGGATAGTAGTTGCTAGGGAATCCGCTAGGGCCCTCTGCAAACAGCTCTGCTGTGTGACCTTGGTCAAGCCCCTTCACAACAGGGTATCTGTTTTCCTTTTTAGTTTTGCTTTTACCTATTTAGTCTGCAAACAGAGTAAATAGTGCCAACCCAATAGACTAAAGTGTCAGGCATGATACAGCAGAGAACTGCTCTGGTCTAAGCCTTTTGCTGCTTCTGGAACTTATAATAAGACAGGATTAAAAAGCTAAGATATTATTACTTTATAAGAACTGAGCTTCACCACATTAATTTAAGAAGGTCATTTAAACTGGCAGTACTGGAGAAAGTCTTACAGAAAGGCAAAATATAACAGCACCAACAAGCTAAGTCTCATAGAGGCAGAATGATCTAACATCAAGGACACCAATTAAAATAAAAAAGAGAATGGTGATTAACATTCTAAGGAGCAAGCAGAAGGGGACAGACTCTGATTTGAAGGGCACATGATGAAATATTATCAGTTCTTACCCAAATAAATCCTCAGCAGTTAGGAATTCTGCAAGTTTAGAATTGAAAAGATAATGCAAAATTTTTGCCTTCTGGGACAGAATCCACAGAAAAGTTTCTTCCTCAAACCCAAGACAGCCTTTTGTGGGCATTTTCAGATAATAGTTTGCATTCTGGAACATTTCAGGTGATTCACATAATTACTTACACAGTATCAGCTCACTGATAGTTACTACAATCCTCAGGTTTATTACTATTTTCCGACTAGCAATTCTTGCCTTAAAATTATCAGTGTTCCCCTACCCCTGTGAAAGTGTCTCCCCAAAAGAGTTTACTTCAAGAGAATATAGCTGAGAATATAACACAAGGGGAATCCAGATATTCAGAGCAATTCCCCACCTTATGCTTGCTGACTAATGCCTAATTAGTCTAATATATTCTTATTCCTTGGGGTTATCTACTTGATGCCTACTACATTCTTTAATAGAAAAAAAAAAGACTGATGAGCTCCTGAGACTGGAAAACAGTTATAGACCAGTCCATGCTTTCCTGGGATTAAAGTCCCAAGAGGTTGCTCAATAACAATACAAAAAGGAACCTCCAGTGAAGTATACTCTCCACTGCTGTCTCCCCAAAGGAGTTGGAAATTTACTTCCAATCTTTTGAGGTTCCCCCACCTCAAAAAAAGAAATTCAAAGGATCTCATAAGGAGGCCTGCACCCTGGTTAAAAATTATTTACATTCCATGCCATCCATACCAACATAGCTTTAGCAAAGCTCCTTCAACTTGAGATTTTGCCAGCAACATCTGTCCCAGGGGTGGGATGGAGGGAAAGGAAACCACCTTTCTGTTGTTTCTACGAGGTGTTCAGCAGAACCTTGCTGTTATAATCAGCTATAATAAACAAATCAAGAACAACAGACCTGTGAAAAAGTAACCCATCTTTTCATTCTGTCTTATTCTCCCCCTTCTCCAAGCCTCTGAACAGTCTGTGGACCAGTTAAATGCTTCTCCCCAGACAATTAACCTTTTTCCTCCTGCTAAGGAATGAATAAACCCAATTATAATGAATCCCCTCAGGTATTAGTGAAGACCTGTCTCACCACACACCATTACACCCAGAAAAAAAATATTTCTTTTCCTCAGGACAGGCAGAAGACATTTCTCTGTTTTCTGCCTTTTCACGCATCCTTGTCTGAATCCAGAATTATTCATCACCCCCAAAATTATTTCAGAAATACTCAGCAGCAATGTAGAGTTTTTTGAAAGGGAGCATCTGTGCCTCCTACCCTTTTTAGAGAGAAAAGCAGACTAGCGACATTCACTGCTATTGCAGGCAGAAGGGCAGACCCACCTGCGCACTATAGCTTTGAAAAATTCAGCTGCATTTGCTTTCAGCCCAAACTACTACAAATGAAATGAGAGACTTCAGGGATTATTCCACTTTTAGCCTGTACTCATCTAAGAAGATTACCTTCCAAGATCAGCTTCCTACTTCATTTAGCTTTTTCTCATTAAAGTGACAGGAGGAGTCATTCAAGTCTTTGGGCTCTTTATATTTCCTGTTAAGTTTCTGTTAGATGAGAAGCCCATGAACTGGTACAGCAGCAGCCTAATAATCTGTGTGGAGCTGTTTTTACCACTGTTTCAACGGTGCCTTACCAACACTCCTTTTTTGCTGCCTTATCTTGAATTTCTATTTACTGAGGTTTCTGCGGTTGTCCCAGTAGTGCTGTCTGCAATCACCAGGCCCTGCAGCTCTTGACGCAGAATTTCCTGCAGCTTTCCCTGTGATGCTGAGGTAGACCAAGAAGCAACAAATATCACGGCAGCAGGCCTTTAGGAGCATTGCACAAAGCAGGTAATACTTGACTGAGGTAATCCTTAGGTTCCCCACTGCACCTTTTTGTTTCTGAAGCATGGAAAAACTGCAACATACCCTATTAGTGTTTCACTGTGACCAGCCATGGAAGCAAACAGTAGTTCAGCAA